AAGGAACTTATCCTAAGTAAATTAATACTTAAGATATTTAACTTATCTCAATAAATTAAATTAGAAATAGATACCTTAGATTTCGCCCTAGGTGCCTAGATTAAATAATAAGATAATAAAGGATAATTATACCTAATTATATTTTACTCTTATAAGCTATATAGAGTAAAACTTAATTACCCTATTTATAATAAAGAATTCCTCGTAATTATTAATGCCTTTAAGGAGTTTAAGTATTACCTCTTAGGAAGCTATTATTAGATTAAGGTCTATATTAACTATAAAAATATCTTTTATTTTATAATAATTTAAGAACTTAGCGGATAATAACTATAATATACTAAATACCTCTTAGAATTTAATTATGCTATTATCTATATAAAAAGATTAGAAAATAGCCGAGTAGATACTATTAGCCACAGACCTAACCTAGATATAAGAAGAATTAAAACTAAGGGATAATTATTATATACTACCCCCGAAGGATATCTATAATAATAAACTATTATATGCATTAAATAACGCACTAAATTAGTACTACTACTAGAGTATATTAAACTTATTAAGGATTATAGAAAATAAGATATTAACTTTATAGACTACGCATGGGGATATTAATATAATAAAGATAGATTCTTAATATATTAAGGAATACTTATTATCCCTAACTAAGTATTTAAAACTATCTTTAATTATTACTATAACTAACTTCCCTATAATAGAAACCATAACCCTACGTAGAAATAAATAAACTATATCTATAATAACTATATATTTAAAGAAAAAATTAAAAAATAAATATAGCGATATATAAAATACTACCTAGAAATAAGACCTACTATCTATAAATAGGATAGAGTTATTAGTATACCTTACTAGGTCGCTAGAATAACCTATATAGTGGAATAGGGTAATCTATTCCTTACCTAAATCCTAGAGTATAATAAATAACTCCTAGATAATAAAAAAATAAATAAATAATAAGTACTAGAGGAACTATAATATAACCTTATACGCGAAATATATAATTACTAACTCTATAGATACTAAGGAATTAATAAAACCCTAGAATAAATTAAGATAATATATATCTTTCCTAATATAAAGAAAGTTATTATAATAATTATTAATTAATATGACCTTTATATAAAAACTAAGGTATAATACTATAAATTATATAGTAAGCTATAACTCCTACTAATACCTTAGCTACTATGGGAAGTTATTACTATAGATTTTATTATAAAGCTACCCCTATTAGAAGAATTAGCTATTAAAAACTTCTATAATAGTATTCTTATTATTATAGATAGACTTATGAAATTTTCCTATTTTATACCTTATAGAGAATTAATAATAGCTAAAGAATTTACTTATCTTTTCTATTTTTATATTACTAAGGTATATAATATATTACTCGAAATTATTATTAATTAAGGACTATTATTTATATCTAAGTTTTAATAAAGCCTAATAAGATACTTAGGGATTAACTATAAGCTCTTTATAGTATACTATAAAGAGATAAATAATTAAATAGAATATATAAACTAGATACTAGAATAATACCTTCGATATTATATTAACTATAAATAAACTAATTAGGTTAAGAAGCTATTAGTTACTTAGCTAGCCTATAATATAGCTATAAATAAAAGTATAAAGATTATACTAGCCTATACTAACTTTAGGTTTATATTAGATATTTACTAATAATCACGGGATATTATTATTAACCCTAAAGTAATCCTTACTAATAATTAATTATATAATTTATATAAAGAAATATAAATAGAACTTAAGTTTATTAGGAATAAAATAATAAACTATATTAATAAGAAATAAATTAAGGGATTAACCTTCTTAGAGGGAAATATAATCTACCTCGCAATAAAAAATATTAAAATAAAATAATAAAATAAAAAACTTAACTATAAGTATATTAGACCCTATAAAATTAAATAAAAAATCTTAAAATATAATTATAAATTAGATTTATTACCTAAAGTTAAGCTCTACCTAATTTTTTATATTTTATTACTTAAATTAATAGAAAATATTATCTAAGTTAAAATTAGTAATAAGCTAGAAATAGAAGTTAATAGACTAGAAAAATATATTATAGAAGCTATTCTCGATATAAATAAAATTAATAATAAAATAATATATTTTATTAAATAAAAGGATTACCTTAACTCTAAAAATATATAAGAACCTCTAGAATACCTTATTAATATATAATACTTTCTAAAGAACTTTTATTAATAATGCCGGGATTAAATAAAAGTAAAGTATTAAGGAAATTATTACTTAGACTAAGGGATACCTAATTAATATTATTAAGAATATAATTAACCTAAAGATTATAAATAATAATATTTTTATAAGTATCTAATATAAATAAGATATTATCTTATTACTTTACCTCTTAGAGACCCCGATAGGTAGCCTCTAAATATTTCTCCTTTACCTAGGCCTAAATCTTATAAATACGCAATAAATAACCCGCGGTAATAACTAGATAAGACTATAGTATAGCTATCTCCTTATAAAGCTTTAATAAGTTATTATTAGCCTTATTTTTATCTATCTTTAATTTCCTCTCTTACTTTATTAAATTAATAATTATAGATACTATTAGGAATAAGGAATCTAGCGAGGAAAATAAGGTAAATTAGACTTATAAGATAACGCTATATAGGTACTATTATAAGACTTCTTGCTATAGATATACTCGCTATAGTAAATAGAATCCGCAGATATTAGGCACTTCTTACCTAAATAAAAATAGTAAGTATAAGGCATATTAGCCTCCTTATTAATAAATTTAATAAAAAGGGTAAAAGTATTAATTTCCCTATCCTTATAGGAAGATTATTTAGAGATATAATTAAATATTACGTAATATAATAATAAAAGGTCTAAGTTAATATATATAAAAATAGAATTAAGGAAATAAGGGTATATAGGTCTTAAGGGTAAGACCTAATAGAAGGGAGATATTATATTATAACCCCCGCGGCTATATTATATATTCTCTATAAGTCCTAAGTCCCCGACTACTAATTATAATAAGACTAATACCACTAAGGACTAATATTATTCCTAGACCGCATCGGTCTTAAAACAATATTACGCCTTATCGTAATTAGCTTTACTTAGAGAAGCCTAAGTATATAGAATATACTTATTATACTTTCCTATATAGTAGCTACCTTAGCTATTAATATAACTTAGTTATACTTAATCCCTTTAAGTATATTACTAGACGTAATTTATATTACCCTTTAAGGCTATATAATATAATCTAGTGCTAATATAAACCTAGTACGACCGGTTTATCCCTTAGATCCCACCACGATCGTTATAACTTAGTTATACTTAATACCTTAAGTATATTACTAGACGTGATTTATACCCTTCGTTGCTTAGACTATGCCTAGTACTCTCTGCTAATATAAACCTAGTATGATTGGTTTATCCCTTAGGAAATATATAATCGTTATATATAGGGTATATACTTAGGTACCTATATCTAGCCTTTACTATAATAATAGGCTTTAGTAATATATCTTATATATACCTAATTCTTATTATATAAGAAAGCCTTATAGCTAAGCTCCTAATAATTATAATATTATATTAGTCTAGTTCTCCGCTTAAATACGCTAATATATACTGATTTGCCCGCTATATAGAAGTAACGCTCTTATAGGTAAGAGTCTCTTAGTATCGCTATTTTTAGTAAGGTATACTATTATAGATCTATATGCCTTTATATTATCTTTTTAACCCTATTAGGCTATCTTAGTAATCTATACTTTATTTTCTTAGCCTAAGGCTTTTATTACTATTAGAAAGACCTTACCTTCCTAGTCGAGAATAGCTATATAGTTTATATTATTAACTTTAACTAAGTATAATTAATCTTAGATAATTCTTATACCTAGAACTTTCTTAGCCTTAATAATCGCTTTAATCTTCTTTAATTTATCTTTATTCTTGTTAATAATCCTTAGGTAATAAGTATTTCGCCTATCTCTAGTTATTATAATATATCACTAACTAGGTTAATCGCTAGATATTTATATTTCCTATTTAATAGTCCTGCGAAGCACTATAGGTATAGTATCTCTAATATAATTATTAGGCACCCTAGATATATATACTATATAGAACGCCGGTTCTAGGGTTGCCGATCGAACTATAAATAGAGCTTATATAGTAATACTAATAGGCATACTTGTTACGGCTTGGTCCCCCGTAGCAGCGATTGAAGCCCTATAGGCAGTTGAAGCACCTTCTGTAATTGCTACAATAGCGATTATGGCCCAATCTTTTGCCCCGTGGCGCAGTGGCTAAGGTGCCCACAGCTGTGACTGCCGTCACAATACTATTAAAAAGTAATTTAACCTTATAGTATACCTAGAGGATAAATTAAGGTAACCTAGTTAAATAAATATAATTTTATATAATTAAATTATTATATCTAATACCTTTTAATATAAGAGTTAATATTAAATAAGCTCTATAGATACTCTTATACTTAATATTTTACCTTAATAAACCATATCTTATTAAGAATAATAAAAATAACTAACTTACTTTTTATTCTAATAATAATAAGTTATTATTATTAATAATAATATAATATAAAATAGCCTCTCTTATATAAATTACCTAATATATTATCCCTCTTAATAACTCTAGCCCTAAAATAAATTAATATAAGATTATATTTATATACCCTCTTAATATATTAATCCTATTAAGGCTAGACCTTAAAGATATTATAAATTACTTAAAGTAAGTTAGCTTATTAAGACTATTAGAGCTAAAAAAACTCTTTATAGTCTTATAATTTTTATTAAACCTCTAGAGGGTCTATTTAATAGCCTTTAGTTATTTCTTACTTTAGTTATAAAGTAATCTTATTAATAATAAGTAAGTATTTATTAAATCCTAAGAATATTATCTTTTTAACCTTACTAATTATATTAAATATAATTATCTTTTATATACTAAATAATTAATATTCCTTATTACCTTATAATAATAAGAAATATAATTATAAGAGCTTTTTTATTTTATAGAGAGGGTTTAAATAGAAAGTTAATAAGCGAGAAGCTTAACTTATAACCTTCCTAATAAATAAGATAGGATTTTAGATAAAGGTTTAATAAAAAGTCTATTAACCCTAAGTAAATTTCTAAGCGTAAAGATAATAAATATAATAAGTAACCTAATTAAATCACTAGAGAATAGGCATGCTATGCAGCGATCAGTCAAGATAACAGTGGGATCCCTTAATGGTTGTCGTCTTCATGCCGAAGTTGTGGTAATCAGCGCGTGGAATGCGCTTCTAACTGCGTTTGTGTGACCTCACTATGCACTTTATTCGGTGAGAATTGTACACGGAAACAACGAACCCCCGCTCAGACTCCTACGGCCCGTTCCCGCCCACTCAGTTTTGGCGAGCTCGACGCACGCCGCCTGCGTGCTGTGTTCATCACCTCCTCGCGAGATCGACCACGATTCATCGAGATCTGCAGAGTCAAACAACTCGCGTCCCTTACTCGAGGCAGTTCGCCCCCACTTTGGTAAGCGTTAGGTGTGGATTCCCGGGTCGAGGCAAGTACCGACTACTCAAGTTCAAATGAAGTGTGGGGTACGGCACCCTCAAAAGTAGATAGATGGTTGGTTGCCTTGCCAGGATTTCTCACTCGAGGGAAGTTATGGATTCTTTAGCTCAGCGTGCCTCGACTTACGCATGCGCTGACGAAGAAACTCTATCCTCAAATCTCGGCTGATTGGAGGTGGAAAGTTCCGCGCCCTGGTGAAAGCCCCTTTCACCATTAGGAGATGTGGAATGACAGCATCTGCCAACGCTAATTCACCGTCGGCATCTGCATCGCATCGTCTTAAAAAGGTATCTCGTGGGCGCGACCTACACTTCGTCATAATGACGAACTCGGACATTTATCAACTCACTTGCGTGCCTATCCCGGCCTCACCTCCCTTCATCTCTCACTACATGCCCCTGAATATCTCAACCCATGGCGAGCCCAGAAAAGCAGCAAAATGGGTCCCCGAGCCAGGCTCCGGAGAAGCAGGAACCGGCCGCTGCCGAGAACGATGCGGAGGAACTTCCGAAGCCAAAGCCCACCACATTGAAACGCCTCATGGACAAGGTCGGGCTAAATGCTGCCACCTTGGTCCTGATGTTCAAGTCAGAAACCAATCCGCATTCTTTTGCTTCTTCCGGGACTTTCTATACTAATGTATTCTTGCTCTGCGCAGAGGCTCCATCCCTCCTATCATTGGCATATCGATGTACCAATCGACACGAATATCCTCTTACTTCACGACGATGGGATATTTAATCCCGGTAATCTCCGTCCTTGCCGTCACGATCCTGCCGCGCGACAGATTTATCCAGAACCTCATCTTGGACCTCCTTGCCATCTGCGTTGGCTCGGCCATGTCTCTCCTCGTCCTCTGGTCCTCCGTCCAAGCACGTATTCATACCTCCCCTCCCACATCCCAGGCTACCACGGGAGCCCCACCACCGTATAATTCGTCTCAGTCAGCCGTCTGCGCAGTATGGCTCTTCGCCAATATCTGGTTCGCAAACCTTGTGCGGGCGAAGCTGCCTAGCTTCAGCCTGCCTGTGATCATCTATAGTATCTTGATCAACAATAGCACGACCTCCGGGCCCAAGCTTGCCACGACTAAAGCAGCGGAGGCCTTCGTCAAAGAGCAGCTTCTAGCGATGTTATTTGGAATGGCACTAGCGACAGGCGTGTCGCTCTTCATCTTCCCTATTAGCAGTCGCATGGTAGTGATCGGGGAGTTGAGGGGCCTCATTTGCCTGCTCAGAAAGGTAGTCGGTCTACAAAAGGAATATCTGGCGACCTTAGCAAGAGACGACATTTTTTATATCGAAACGAGGAATGCCGAAGAGCGAGAAGCCTCGCAGGACAAGAAGAAGCTGAAGTCGAAGGATGAGGGTATGGCCAAGGAGGCGAAAGCAGCCAAGCGTCTAACAGAGACAATCCACACAATAAGAGGCTTGACGGGCAAGGTCCATGGCAATATGGCATTTGCGAAGAGAGATATGGCTTGGGGAAAGCTTGACGCGAAAGATCTCGGCGAGACGTTCACACTAATTCGAAACCTCACGATTTCAATGCGAGTTTGCTGTCCCCCAATTCTTGGCAGAAACGCGGCTGACTTCCAGTAGAATGGCGATAAATTCACTTGTAGATATCTTCCACCGAGTCGCCGAACGCCGAAGGCGGAATGTCGTTGAGGACACACTGGCTGAGATCGCGGCGGAAGAAAATTGGGAGAAACAAGTGTGGAATGGTGTCATGAAACAATTGCACACGCCATTCCAGACCCTTGTGGAAGCAATCGACCAAGGACTCGAACATACCGGCATCTGCTTGGAGATTCTCCCGAAACCAAAGGTAACCAGGAAGTCAACGAGCAGCGGATCGGACGATGTCGAGGCCCACGGAGACGCGGTGAACCCAGGCGACCAATGTTTTGGTAGCCTTGTGGATAAGAAAGTCCAGGAATTCTATTTGCAGAATGGAGATATCCCTCGGGCCTGGGTTGGGGATGAAGCCAGCGACGCCATACCAAGGAACCAGACGCAACTTTACGTGACTTTATATATACAACAGCTGATGCATGCGGCCGGGGAGGCCCTCCAGGACCTCGTCGCCTTCGCGGACGAGAAAGTCGAGGATGGTACAATGAAGCATAAACGCTTACTCTTCCCCACCGAACGGCGGCTATGGAAGTGGTTGATGAGTGTCTTCAAAGAACAGGACTCGAGCGTAAAGCAGAACCAGGATATCCTAGAGACGAACAACGTTAATTACGGAGATAGCTTTAACCCTAAGAAGGATCTAGAGCATCTTCCTGCCACCAATATCTGGCAGCATTTTGGGAACGGGCTTCGTAGGATCCCGTTAGCCTTGGGATCTAAGGAATCCGTCTTCGGCTTTCGAGTCGCCGCTGCTACGATGACAGTCGGTCTCCTGGCATTCTTGGAGCAAACCCAACAATTCTTTCAAGATCAGAGGCTAGATTGGGCAATGATTACTATCGCTCTGGGAATGACGATTAGTAAGTCCCTGCGGCCCTTGGAGTTTGACTTGGACAATTACTTACTCTCAACAGCTTCTGGCCAGTCGATTTTCGGCTTTTTCTGTCGAGTCGGGGGCACGTGTCTAGGCATGATCTTCTCACTCGTTATCTGGTATATCGTCGACCAGAAGACCCCCGGCGTTATTGTTTTCCTATGGTTTTTTATCTTCATTGAGTACTACTTTTTCAAATTTCCCCGGTTTCTTACAGCCGTTATGATTACCATTATTACTCAGATTATTATTATCGGTTACGAGTTGCAGGTAAGACAGCTTGGCGAAGCGGTAGCAACTGAGTCAGGACAGCCATACCATCCGTAAGCCCTACCTGTCCTTTTCGTATTATCTAGGTCGTCATAGGCTAATATAATGTGTGTAGAACCTATCTCCTGGCTCCGTATCGGCTCGCTGTTGTCGCGTCAGGCAGTCTGATTGCGTTCTTCTGGACAATTTTCCCTTCTCCTCTAACCGATCGGACTTGGCTTCGAGAGGATTTGTCCGCGACCATATACCTTCTCGCTCAATATTTCAGCGTCATACTTTCGACTATGCAATCGCAGCTTGAAGGGACAGCAGGCGATATCGAGTCAGAAACATCGCCTGCTTACCACCTTTTAAAAGCTCGGCGTAAGATTTTCGGCAAGGTTATGCGTCTCATGTCGTCTATCGAGTCTCACGTCGTGTGGCAGCGGTGGGAGCCCAACCTAGGCGGCCGCTTTCCCGTTGAGACATACCAAGAGATCATCAAGCGTAGCGGGCGTATCATGAGCTATCTAACGCTTATGAGCTATGCCTTAACACATCCGCCGCGAACGCATAGGGCGGGGGACCCTGACGATGGGCAAGCTGGTTCATCAGATGCCGCCGCAGATGCGCAAGATAATAGTTGGTGGCAGGCGCTCACAGAGGTCCTCTCGGGAGTAGAACCGACGAACCATACTTTCCTGTCGACATTGACCTTATTGTCAAACTCGATGCTTGCAGGCCAGAGCTTGCCACCCTTTCTGCTTCTTCCTCAACCTTACGAGATGATGCCGAGACTGATTCGGCTGCCTAAAGACGACAGGGCCACCGAATCAGATCAAGAGGACAATCCATCACTTCCCCATTGGGACTTCTCACGTGGACGCGGAAACTCGGGACTGACTACCATCGATTTGCGCCAGGAGGCCCCAGATCACGTCGCGGAGAAACGCACCAGACGCGACCCACAACCCCAGAGCAAACAAGCAGACGTGGCCTTCCCCGGGGACACCAAATCCCTGGACGCACCCTTGGAGCTGCGTGGCTACGCGGAATTCGTCGCGATGCAGGTGTGCAGCACGCTGGTATGCGACGACCTTGAGGGGTTGGTGCGGGCGGTGAGCGGGCTTGTAGGCGTCGTGGACTTCAGCTTCCGCGTGGGCATGGGCGGTAGGGATAGCAGGGCCAGCGAGATGGTTGAAAAGCCGCTGGCCCAGCGGAGGACGACTCGGCTTGTTGCCGCGATCAGTAAGGAGAAGGCGATTTGAGGCGAGCCTTCCTACTCATATTGAAATTGCCAGACCGCCCGAATCCGACCCCTTTGAGAGTGACTAGTGGCAAGTGAAAGGATTGTAAACTATCTTAGTCAAGACTGTTATAAATATCATTAAAAGAAGCGTCTCGAGGACATCAAGAATGACGGATTTTCGTCCTTGTTACCCAGGACATAAACAGGGTCCCAGGTGCCAAATATGGCCGCCATGCAGGCTCGTAATCAACGGGCGACGCCGTCCATAGTGGGTATGATGAACACTTTGAGCCGGAAGCCGGTGGTGCTCAGGTTAGTACAGGGGCATTACCGTCGCTCGGTCTATGATGGAAGACCCGTCGCGAGAACGGTGCGACCTAGTGCATGTGATAGCGTGCGAGCGTCCGCTTTGGGGAGGGAAATGAGATCGCGTGGAATCGTTCGAATCGGCGCTGCTGAATCATGGTGATTGCTAAAATACTCAAGCTGACCCTACTGCACATACATATACGCGCGTCTATTACGCCCGGTAGGCCATGCCCAAAGGGCTCTGAAGCTAAAAATACATACACCTCTCTAGTTCTTGCCTTAATCTCGCTAAGCCCTTGTGGATCCCGCCTTGTCCTTTTGGTCTAGTCATCGCTCTTCTTCTTGGTCCTCGTGAAGGTTAGTAGCAAGTCAACTTGAAGCCTAAATCCTCCAAGTATTCAGTTTCCTATTTTCGGCGGCTGAAGCAGTGCCTGCTTTCGATTGTATGAGGACTTGATAGTTAGCATTGGTAGTTTAGTGGGTGAGTTGAGCTTAGATCATCTCTGATCAAGGCGACCCGAGCGTAATAGAATTGCTATAGAAGTTCTCTCTACATGCTGTGCTACTACTTCTCTACTTCTACTAAGAATTGGACTCGTCTACGACTGCGTTGAGCAAAGCAAAGCACTCAGATAGCCGTGTTGTAACAAAAGAAAACAAGATCATACGTTAATTATCGTGTGAAAGGGTGTGTGGCGGGTTGCTTGAGAATCGTGTAGATCATCCAAATAGTCGGCCTCCTCAAACGCTTCGCCCATTCCCGTCCAGCCTGATCCAATCTCATCACATTTACGCACCAAACAAACGAGATGCGAAAAAGCCTTCAACTTCGTCGCATATGTGAGTGGTCAGTATATCAAAGCACGGCCATTGTCCTGTTTTTCTCCTTCACGCTCTCATCTCTATCCAAATTACAAAACCCCTATAGCTCTGGATACACCTCCCTGGCAAGGTCCCACAGCCTCCGCCTCCGCTCAGACGACAGCGAGTCCCACAGCCTATCCACCAGCCTGTTAAAAATCCACTCGCTCTCCTCCTGACTACCCACTAAAGGACTGCCAGGCCCGACCCACGACCACGTCAGCTCCATATCTGAGTCCCCATGGCTAGGATCCCGGGCCTTTCCCTTCGGCGTGGCCTTGCAGTGCATCTGTGCATTGTGTTCATCTTCGCCCATGAGTTTGAGGTACCAGGCCCATTGGTCGAAAGTGTAGCGATGCGGCTTGGATTCTTTGAGGTGGGTGGCGATGACCTTGATCTCGGAGATAAGGAGGAAGTGGAAGTCAGTGCCTGTGGGAAGCCCATCGTGGTGATTGCAGCGCAATTCGGAGGTGAAAATTGATGGAGCAGCACGAGTGTGTGATCGGCGGCTGTCCTGTGAAACCCCTTGGCCGACAGCAGAGGCACTGGAGCAGCCTCTGTTGTCGTCTTGGAGAGTTGGTTCGTAGGCCTCGTTCACGGTCCCAGCTAATGGTTGATCGATGTTCTTCGAGGGTGCCGCCAACTCTGGAGATGCAGAGTCCAGGTGACCTGGGAAGGCCTTACCGAACGTAATCTTGCTGATGATATGCTTCATGTTTCCGATAAAGCCTCCATCGTTCGGTAGGATCGTGACATTTCCGAGTAGAATGGTGCCATCTCGGATGATCCTAACCACAGTATCACTAGCATGTGAGATAAGTACCGTCATCGTGGGCAAGGCTAGGAGAGACCAAAAGACATAGAAAGATCTGCCTGCATTAGATATAGGGGCGAGATCACCATATCCGATAGTCGTCCAGGCCTCGAAGCAGAAGTAGAGAGCGTTAAAGTATGACCAGTTTTGATAGGGATTCTCAGCCTTCTCAAAGACAACAGCACCCACGAGCCATAGAACGAGCCATGAGAACGTAGAGATAGCCATAGCTACCCATCTTCTGTGAGATGAGGATTTGGCCTGAATCTTGCGCATCAGAGCAAACTCGGCCTTGCGGCGCTCGAACTCGTTTGCCGGCGCTTTATTTGATTGTGTGTGAGAGATTTCGAACTGTTGGCGGATGGGCTCGAGGACCTTATCGTCACCACTGCGTGTTATAGTCCGGATCATCTTGCGTCGCTTCCTGTCGTCCATTTGGGCTGCGACGCAGCGTCGTCCACGCTCAAGCATTAGGCTCCTAACTGAGCTGATGACTAAACCAAGAGTTATAATACCAGTGAGGGCGTATGGGATCAGGAGCGCTCTTGCAAGAGGAGTATTAGGATAGTAATCACCAAATCCAACAGTAAAGAGGGTAACAATGGTCCAATACACAGCATCCAGGTAGTTCCAGCCTTCAACTTGGGAAAAGACATAGGCGCCAAGGAGGAGGTATGTAAGGAACATAATGGTCTGTAACATTAGAGTGCGTTGACTTAAGGTCAGTATAAAGTCCTTCCGGTAGCGACTAGTCAAAGCACCCCAGAAGGTAGCCGCCATGAGCGAAGCATCGATGAAATAGAGGATGGCTGCCCAAATGCCATAGTAAAATGCCTGAGACCAGACAACCTCGTTTTGAGGGAACCCAATGTCTTTGAGAGGCCGAGTGACAGCAGCGCTCAGAGACATGCGGCATAGAGCAGAGGCGTACCTGTTGACCTCATGTTAGCGACGTCCCCCGATTGTATGTTTTTCTTGTGTAGTACCATCCAATTATTGTGATGGGCTGGGCCAGGCGAAATTGGACTCGTCTTGCCATGTTGAGGAGAAGAAATATGTTGGAGATGATGCCGATAACAAGCTGGATGGCCTCGACAATCGTCAACCTATAGGATCATATATCAGGGAAGAGCCGCTTTAGGCATCGTTCAAAATCAGGACATGGCATACCACGTCGGGTCGGGGACTGGAGCGGCGTCCTGGATAGCTCCCCCGGGAACGAGATGCTGTCGCCATGGCTCAACTAGGGAACAGATACTAAACGCCGAAGCTACGGGACCTAGAGCCCCTGCGGTCATAGGGAATGCCGCTGAGAGGAACCACCAACGGCTGCAATACGAGAAAGTGCACATATCTTAGCGCTGGCGTAACGGATGAGGCATCGTCCTGGGGATGTGCGTTCTTGTGGCTTACCTAGCTTCTAGTTCAGCAACTTCGTTTTGAAACCATTTCCCACGAGAGGCATGACTGTTGGTGACCTGGGCTTCTTGATCGGTATTCCCACCTAAATCTGCATCGTTTGTGATGGGCATCTTGTCTCGTCCCATTGGTGACCTCGCCGAAGCTCAAGGAGGTGAACGTCAAGTTGCTGAATCCGAAAGTTGAAGAGGAGGCGAGATGAGAGGAATAGAAGGGATAATTCAAAGTTTGAGTATGGAAGCCGTCTCCTTTCTTATGAAAGAGTCGCCTTTATGGGCATTGCTTGGAGTTGAGAAGGTTGTCGACAAGGTCGCTGGCGATGAACTTGGTACTAGATACGTACAGAGGATGACATTCTTATCTTCAGCGGAGGATAGACGCTAACGAACTTAGTCGCTTTAGGGTTTAGGTGTTCTGGCCAACACCGTCCGCCAAGCTCGGCGCTTGACAGCCGGGCTTTCCGGGGCAGCATGCTGCTTTCACTAGGACTATAATACCTTGTCACTAGCTGTTTTAGATTGGACCATCGTTCCCTTGAGTTTACTCTGTCTTCTGGGAATTTTATCGTTCGAGACCACCTGCTTGAGATTCTAGTTTAACAGCCACCCTAATCACTGCTAAATGAGAGCGCGACGCGTAAGCTTCCCAACAGTCCAGCCTAACTCGCTGCGGCCGCCATCAGATCACCCCAGGGCCCCGAGAGGTTTTCGCTCGTCGGACAATATTGTGGGCGGTCGATGACTGGGATAAGAATAGAGCGTATGAGAGGATGCGGAGTTCTTAGAGCATGCAAAGATGGGGAGATAGTTTTTGGCCGCCGTTAACGCAACAGGACCGAATCTCCAAAGGGCATGGTGGGTTTTACCCCTCCAAAGGAAAAGGTGAGGAGGCGTCGGCCTTGCAGTCCCGGCCCGGAGCCAGACTCAATCTTGGGCGCTTGATTTCTCTTTATCTTGGGCAGCCGCGTCAACACTCTAGCTTTCCAGCTCCCACGGGGATCGCCGGACTAGAGGCCCCCACAAGTAATACATGACATCGTCTATATCCTGCAGGGAGATATAATACTTGCCAGAATCTTGATGTTACATGTTGATTGTCAGTTCAAGCTAAACTCTTGGAGTCCGCCCTACAATGTGAGTGAGACAAGATTGGTGATGATTCCCTCGGTGTATCGGGGTTTGTTCTTCTACAGTTGCGGTCTAGCCGTGACTGCCGCTGCGTAAAGTTGCTCGCGGTAATTTTCTTAGCGTTGCCCTTCATGTCGGAGGCGATAACACTAAAAAAGACGACCTGCGTCGGAGACAACACAGGTGCCATCCAAGTGCGAAGCATAAAGTTTCTACTTGGAAGACTGTAGAAGACGGTGCGACGCCAATGTCAGGCGCCAACCTTCAACAAGCCTTTGGATCACGGTGACGTTGCTCAAAGTTAAAGAACATCGCCCTCTTTACGGGCCAAGCGGGAGCACCGGATTATACAAAGGTATTGGCCTTCATGGTCTACTTATATTAGGTATTCGTGGTTAAAGAAATAACACTCTGCTGTTTCGTCTCGAGTCGAACAAATCCTTGGTATCAACCATCAACCAATTACTTGACTACTTACAACCCATTATTAAGGAGCTTTTGCTTCATCCAAGGATGGCGAGTAGTGGAACTGGGCACAAGGTCGCCTCCGTAATCCTGCGATTTCTGGAACTCGCGTGCGGTGCGATCGTACTGGGTCTCCTTGGCCGGTTCTGCTACCTAGTCGATGAGGCTACCAATGTCAGTGTCGATGGACGAATTATCTACGCTATGGTCGTCGCGGGCATTACTATCGTCTATTCAATATTGGTCTTCGCACCATTTGATATTCTTTTCATGAGCTTTCCATTCGACTTCGTCCTCTTTATCATGTGGCTGGTCGCGTTTTGCTTGCTCGAAACGGTGAGACCCCTCTGCTGCTCTCTTGTGGACAGGAACCCAATAATTTTGCGTCATGATAGAGAACAAGAAGCCACATCTGCAGTGCAGGGTGGTACTACAACTATTGGGGCTATTATTGGGGACGCTTCTGGAGGGTTGGGCCGGTGGGCAGGGTCAACATCAATGGAGCCGGATGTTCGCAGTGGCGGACTGTTATCGCCTTTTCGATCATCGCCTGGGTTCTTTTTATCATCAGTAGTATTCTAGTAAGGCACCGCATCCTGTGAACTGGTGACCAGATGCTAATCAGGAAACAGGGCATATACGTCTTTACCAACTATATCGAGGTCAAAGAGACAGTGAACTCGGCCAAGCAGCAGATGAGAAAATTGTCGCAGTGAGTAGAATCAAGGCCTAAAACCAACATAGCACTTGCTAAAATTTGTATCTTCTGAATGTTTAGCAGCAACTATCCTGCCAATGGCCAGAATCGGGAATCTACTGCCACCAGAGCCGCGGAGGAGGGAGTCCGCCCCATACAACCTCGGTCGGAGGTGTAATCGACGTTTCATCAATATCCATATCGATAACCAGTGCCTCAAACCGCTATGTTAGGTCCCTTCAGGCTTATGGTATTTGTTTCGGGATATTTTTCCTTTTAAACTTATTAGCTACCTTAGCTATTAATATAACTTAGTTATACTTAATACCTTTAGGTATATTTTTATTATATATATTAAGTATTTTTATTAATATCTTTAAAATACTTCGAACACCCGTTAAGTTGCCAAGGCAAGGGGCTTAACGGCTGAATATTCAGCCCGAAGGGTAAATACCGTCTACCTACTATTAAACTCTTCTGGGAGGCCCCCTTTCGACTATGGCGATAACCAGCTATTAGAACCACTTTAAACCTATAGTAAGGGAGTTAACTAATAGACATAGGGGTCCCTCTACCACTTCCTTCCAGGCCTAATCAACTATATACCATATATCGAGTTCCCCCTTTTCTATAGCTTATAGGAAAACGTTATTTAGTTAATATACCGTGGTGGATATGGCGGATCGATTAGCTGCTGAGCCTGACGGCGTTGTTGGTCAGCAAGGCGCATCTTTATCCCTATGTTATAGTGAGCTATAATCGCAATACATAGGAAACGCAGGCGTATAAACCTTCCGTGGGCGTATGGTTATAGAGGTTCTGATGGTCGAATGGCGCCTCGAGGAGTAGGCCTTGCAACGAGGTAACTCGTGATATTATAATATAACTAATACCGGCCTAGAAGTCGCGTATAGTAAGGTTAGTAACTATCTAATCCTTCGTTAGGCTCTGGCATTTATGAATAGTGATGGTAAATACTACGATTAGGGGAAACTAGGTGCGAGAGTAAGTCTCATTGCCTACTAGGAAATCACGCGTGACGGGAAGGATAAGTATGATTTTCCTGCCCTCGTTAGTTATTAGATACGGCGGTCTATCATAGTTATTAAAATCTACTATAATAATGTCCGGGGGATCTTACCACGGGTTAGCGCCTTTATTCCAAGCGATATTATATATTATACCCTGGGCGCTATTAACTAGGCCAGCTAGTTACTATAAATTAGTTATGAGTATTACCTTGGCGCCTCTAGTAATAGCAAACTTATTAGATAGATTACTAGCGTTATTGCTTACCGCCTGCCCCGCGCCTTTGCCCTAGTTCTTTGCCTCTACCTATATTGCCGGGGCATTAAGGTATACTATATGCTTATAATTATATTCGTTAATGCGGGCCTTTATAGAATATACCCGCATAGCGGCCTTAAATCTATTAACCTCGCTCTATATTAGCTTAGCCTATACTTAACTACTAAGGAGGTCCTAGGAGGGTATAGATAACTTAACTTCACGTAGTTCTTATAAGGCCTGACGGAACCGGGCCTAGTTATTACTAGTCTGGCGCTATACCGTGGTTAGGAAGACGGTGCGGTTAAATAGCCGGTAGGCCACCTGTCCTCTCCTTTCTAACAAAGATAGGCTAGTGCTAGCGGTTAAATATAGCGGCTTTTGTCGGATGGGTGGTAGCTAGAAGAAATCGCCCATAAGCAAGACGCTTATACTACTAAAGAACTTAAGGCTACGCTATGGAAAGGCCTGTCGCAGGCGAGAATCAATTCGCCCGAGCTGCTTAAGTCCTAGTATGCTCTTTTTATCGATGACGAGGTACCTGACGTGCCGTAGGCGGGACTAAAGGGCAATAGCGTTAGCTAGGCGAAGGTTAGTAAAGGCACCGCCTACTAGGAGATGGAGTAGCGAATGTATAGTATTGCCTTATATTTGGTTACTCGTAACGCCTGTTAGCGCTACGCGGTAAATAGGGCTAGGATTAGGTAGGGTAGCCGCCTAAAGGTGGGAGGAAAGTACCTTAATAAGGAAGGACTTGCCTATGCTACCGCCGCCGTTAATGTAGAGAAGGATTTAAGTAGGATTTTACGCCTAGAAGTAACCTATAAAGGTATTATATACTAATTACTATTGCGGGTTAAGCTAGTTATGCTAATTAGGGCCAAGGACCTCTATATCGTTGGCTATAGGGTTACTAGCGATAAGGTCTTTCTAGTAGCTGTCTCGAAACTCTGGATAAGTGCCCATATGCCGTGTCTAGTCGTAATTAATATTAATATCGCGGCGGCTAAGTAGGTTAAGACCTTCCTAGGTAAGGGGGTTATTAGGTAAAAGGGCGGCGAGACGGATCTAATCTTCGTTATTAAATTCCTCCTCTACTGGCAGAGCCTCGTATTAATCCTCTTAAGGTTATAATCGAACCTCTTTTGGCCGGCTATAATGGTTATTACTATGACTGTGGTGCTGCTAATAATAGGAGAAGGCCTAAGCGTGAGAATTAAAACGATAGCTATTAAACATAAGGAGCTTATTATGCCGATGATATAGGTGGTTTAATGTTAGCTTTACGCGGTAGTAATCTAGCCACTATTAGCCTTCTGGATTAGCCTAATAGCGAGGAAAGTAGACCAATATACGCGGCCTACTATTGACGTTACCTGGCTGCTATTGCTTCCACTTAGAAGGGTCCCTAGAGTGGAAATTCTAGTATTTAAGAAAGGAAACATAGGTCAGGTCCTCTAGGGATTCGGGGCGTTAATAGTACTTTTCGTAGATGTTCGGCGCCTCGTTAACCTTATCGGCGTTAATCCGTAAAGAGCGGGAATATATATTAGGATTATAGCAATTAATATGTAAGTAGGTTCGTGAGCCCTCTTGTAATAGTAGACCGAGGAGCAAGTGGCTAACCTCTTGCTTCGAGTAGTCTCGCTTAGTAACTAGCTAATTTAGGAGCTTTAACGTAAAGGAAATTAGCGGGTTATGGTCCTTAACCCGGGGCATTAAGGCCTTCCTAATCTGGGCAAAAGACTTACTCTTCTTCTCCGACTTAGAGCAGTATTTAGCTGCGTAATCGATTACCTGCTATAGGCTCGTATAGGGTAAGATATCTGTATTGGCTAGCCACGCAACGGTAAGTAAGCGGTTATAGTGGTTTATCTGGTTATCGTTCTGCTCGCCCCTAAAGCTCTAGTGCTTAGAATGAGGAACCTTTTTAAGGGAGGCTAGTAGGCGCTGCGCGTGAGGAAATCCAAAGTGGCACTCTACCTGCTTAGTATGCTTGCTGAGCTATATATAGTAGTTGTTACAGCGATAGCGCTGCACGCGGTTTACTACTATCGATAGGAACTAGACGGTAAGGGGATATTCCAATAGATTACTAATTAAGGGATTCCCTTCCCTAGGTGCCTATACCCTTTGAGGCTCTAGGTTAATAGCGGATACGTGATATCCCTAGATTCGGGCAAATCGCTCCTAGGACTAGCTATTATTAGGATCTAAGTCCGGGTAGCTACTTAGCTAATATAGGCCATAATGGTGATTAGAACCCCTGCCCTGCTACTCATAGCGACCCTAAAAGTCCGTTAGGTTGAACTTCTGCCTTAGGATAATAGTCCTAAAGAGCGTATATCGCTTATAGAAGTAATAAGTAGTAATGTGGGCGTTATCTCGCAGTAGTTGCCGGGATAGAGCCATTTGCGCCGCCTTAGGAGCTACTTTCTACTCTTGGAATCGAGGTATATGACGATATAGGGACTCCTAGTAGTAATTAGCTGTACTTACTGTAACGAAAAGGCTAGGCCTGCCTAGATTATAGGCATATGCCTCTAATTCCTTCCTTTGCTTATATTAATATAGACGGGTGCCCCTGATTATGGCCGCTTGGCGCGTGATCGATTGGATTAGGGCCTGAGCCTCTGGCTCGTTAGGCTTAGCCATCGCTTCCTCTATGTCAGTGCGCGTAAGGGGTTGATGGCGGCCTTCGTGTTGCTTGACTGAGTAGTTGCTTCGCTTTCTGACCTGCGCACGTAATAGCGTATTAAGGGCGATAAAAGGCTATGTCTTATGGCGGGCAAAACGTCCGTCTTGCTATCTTATCGCATAGGCAAGGTAGTCCTAGTATATGATACTCCGTAGGCGAGGCTCTATAAAGTCGGCCTTGCCATCGGGGTAGAGGGTAGGGAACGCGAGCGTTAATAGCGGCTAGGAATGGTTAAATTCGTTAATAAGAGTCCTGCGAATGGAAGGTAGTGGCATCTAGTGTTAAGCCTACGCGTTAAGCGGTATATACTTAAGATCGGCTATACGCTTAGGGTCAAGGGTACTATAAAGTAATTAGGACTATAGGGCGTTTAATTCGGTATCTATAACCTGCAAATCAGGGATCGCCGATACATCTGTATCTACTGGGTCCTCTTCTATATCCTCCTTAATAGGACCTTGGGGGGCCTCGCCGTTAGGTATGTTAGCCACTTGGTTAGCAATGGAAGCAACTATGCTGCCGTTAAGAGAAAGCCGTTATAAGTGATCCTGCCTCATAATAATATCGCGATAGCCCGGGTGGTAGCGCTATAGGTAATGCAGCTAGGTCAATAGGCATAAGCGGCATACCCGGAAATCGCGAGCAAACTGCTGCTAGAAGTAAGGGTCGCCCTCTATATTAAGAGGCCGTAAGAGCATAATATCTAGCTCTTTAGGTAGGACCGGGAGCTCTTTAAATAGCCTACTAATATTACAAAGGAAGTGGATAATATAGCCGCGGTATTTATACTAAGAGCCACGTACCTATAGGACCTTTATATATACGTGAACCCTAGTAATCAATATCTCCTTAACTATCGTTAAGCTAGGTAGATTACTAGGGACTTCCCTAAAGTTAAGGTTATTCGCAGCGCTAAAGAAGTAGGGCTCATTAGCGGTTCTCTCCCTATCTCGATTAATGTAGCGGCTATAGACTCCTAAGCTATTTTTCTTTATATCAAACTAATGCTCCCGGCAGCAAATATAACTATGCATCTTATTATTATTTAGGGCAATATAGAACTCCCGCATAAGCGCCTAATCCTCCTCACTAAGGGCAAGCAAATTAAGGTCCCCTATAAAAGGTAGATTAACTATCTAATTAAACTATCGTTCTTAAAGCTATAGCCGTGGCCGTCGGTTTACGATGCCTTGACGTATATAGCGGCCGCGGCGATAACCCTATGGCAATAATGAAGTAGTGGTAGGGAATAATTCCTGTGGCATAGGCGTGCCTAGCATAATAGGAGCCGTTGTGGCCGTATCACTAGGAATCGGCGTGCCTAGAATTACTCTTGGCGGGCTTAAGGTAGGAGGGATAGGGAGGGCTCCTTCTGCTGCGCTTAGGGTAGATAGGCCTAGTAGAGGTCTAGGTAATCCCTAGAGGACGGGCGCTAGACCACGGAATATAGTAGGCGTTACAGGGGGTTATAAGCTATTAATAGATATAAGCGCTTATATGTTTCGCCGTAGAGGCATTAATTAAGCCTAAGAATTAGTCCTCTTCGTCGTTCTACGCGGCGATAGCCTTAAGGCGATATTCCGCATAGCGGTAATAGCGGCTCGGGATTCGGCTACTCGCTCCTTTTAGCGTGCCCTATAGCTACTATATTATCTCGTAAGCCTCGCAGGGTCCTTAATGCTTTGAAACTCGACCTCGGGTAGGTCTTACTTATAAGTATGGCAGTTCTAAACTGCCTAGGGTATATTATTCTCTATCCGGCTATATATATTATTATCCGCCTCTTACCTATATAGACGACTGGGTAGGTATCGCTTGGGTAGCGAGGGTTTGCTTAGATATACCGTAGCGTAATAGATCTCGATATAGGAGGTTATCTATAGGGTGTTTTAATTAGGTTCGAATGATTAGGGAAGGAGGGGATACTTTACCGCTCGACCGGAGGTAGGTAATATGTGAGCCGAGATATCGTTAGTAACCTCGTAAGGTTTAGTAGATAATAGTTTTGACGGGAAAGGGAAAGCAGATGCTATGTCGGTGCTTTGGCTAGAATCGCGCTTAGAGGCCGGAGTTGATTAAAAGATAACCTTAAAGCTCCTAGAGAGCTTACCAAAAGCGTTACCTAGTTAACGATCACGGGCTTTCCTATATAGTGGCGTCGTTAGCGTTAACAACTAACTAATTTAAGCACGAGTTAAGTATAGACTATGCTAACTAGCTAATCAGAAAAGGTTTTATGCTCTTTTTTTCTGACTAAGTAAAATGCCCTTCGGGCTGAATAAATATTAATTAAGAAATTATTAATTAATTTAAAATAATTTATAAAATAATAAAAATAAAATTAATTAATAATATATTATTATATTCCCTTTATATATCTCTTAATAAATAAAGAAATATAAAGCTTAATATAACTAAAAGGCTTAATATAACTTGAGGGATAATAAAATATAAAGAGAGATAAAATAAGAGCGATAAATAAGATATAAATTAGGGAGGAGTAAAGATAATAATAGTATTTTATCTTAAGTAAAGGCAAAGGTATAGCGATAAAGGAATAAATAGTATTATATGCGAGTAATATAAGTAGGAGAATATAGTAGGCATATAGGACTAGAAGGAGTCTATTAACATAGCTTATTGCTGGTTTCTCGTAAGAGAAGATGGCTAACGATAGGAGGCCTTTCATGACAATAGTCATTCCATCGGAAATGGTTTTATTTTTGAGCGGGAGCTCATAATACTTTTCGGCGTCATAGCCGGACATGATCTTGGTTAGGATGACCTCTTGGTGTACCGTAGGATCTCGAGAAATTCGGACACTTTAGCGTCGCCATAAAACTCCGTATCAGCCAATTAACCAATAGTAACTCGACGGTTTGGAGGTTAAAAAGTGGAAAAGTGGAGGAGCTAGAGCGTCCGAATTTCTCGAGATCCTACGGTATATGGTCATTTCCAAAGTGTGACGAGACGGGGGTTGAGTGAGAAGAGTAAGACGGCGCCAGGCTAATGCAGCCATAGCCATACTACGTGATGTGGGTCGAGTTCAAGACAAGACCAATGGCCTGTCGACATTGAGACTTACACTGCAAAGTTAACCCGACGCGGGGCAGTGGAACATTTCATCTGTTTAGTCAGGTAGACGTTACCCAAAAGGGAATTGGTGATAACCTCACCCACGCATCCAAATGTAATCATAGACATGTAGTGTTATACATCGTCGAACGTAGTGAGACGCGCCTGAGCGAAGCGAAGGGTGAAGTCCCCCCTTATGGCCGAAGGCCAGATATAACTTTGGTTTAAGGGGGGACCACGGGACACGGGACGGGACGATCCAACGTGGACTGAGTACAGGCTTGAGCAGCTTGCTGCCTTGACTGCCCCAGTAGGTAGAGGAGATGGAACGAAGTGGAATCGGATGGATGTAAACACAGAGAGGGAGGGACGACCGGATGTGCAGTCATAAGTGGGTGGAGCGACGTAGGAGTGGAGACCCCGTTGAAGGTGGACGAGTGAGAGAGGCACGATTGAATCCGGCCACTTTGACCCTTGCACGGAGACATGGTCGAGTACAAAAGGCGCAGGGCGCCCACCACGGAGTGCAGACAGTTCTGGAACTATACTCATTGTGTGAACCAGAGGTGAGTTGAATCGATAGATTCATTTGTTTGTTCATTTACGCGTAGGCGGAAACACGAACGGGTTAGTGGGATTACGACTGGAAGGAGAGTGAGGAGACGAACGAAAGAAAGAAATGCTAAAAGCAAATAGGAGCGGAGCCATTGTCGTTAATCTGAGCCTGAGCGAAGGCTGAGCAAGGCGAAGGTGAGTTTATTTTTTATTTTATTTTATATTTTTTATTGATGTACGGAGACGGAGTCGACTACTTCCAACTGTTGTTGATATACCGGAGGGTCAATGTGTGCTGGAACACATTAACTGGCATAGGTGCAGACAAACAAGGCGTGAGTTATGGAGTCAGCAATGACGATTAGTAGACGACGACGGAATGGAGTGACCATGGCTGGAGACATGAAGATTATCTGAGCGTAGCGAGGAGAGAGGACAGGATGGACTCCCGTATATTTCCAACGGTCAAACGAGAGGGGAGTGAGCTAATTCTTTCAGATGATTATCGAAGCCGAAGGCGATACCTGAGAGGGTTGTACCAAGGATTCTTGGTATGTTGTTGTTATTTACCAACCTGAGGTTGAACGGATCTGGATTGCGGAGCGTAATAGCAGTGATGTTTTTTTCTTTGACATGTCCTTTTCTTAGGACGGAGAATCGAGAAGGTTCTTTGTAAATTTCTTATGACACTGAGGATCGGTGTCGGATTGATTGGGACTGTATGTGGGATACATGCCCTAGACCGATTAGGGATAAGAGTGAGATGGCACTAAGCTAATGCAGCCATACATACTATGCGTTTATGCAAGGCCGATGTGCGCGGATTTTGACTGCAAATTTAACCCCACGCGGGGCAGTGGAACATTTAATCAAGTGGGTGTTACCTAAAACGGAAGTGGGAATAGCTTCATCCACCCACGCATCTGTATTCATACACTCAGTCATATAAGAGCGAGCACTCATATATAACCATACGCGAGCCTCAAATCATCATCCAAAAAATCGAGACAGAGGCGAGCGAATTATTGTTGTTTGTATCTGTGCGAGCAATGTAGTAGTATAGACTTATTATTTTAAGATTTGTTTGTGTACTTAATTAATTGTAAATGGTGAACGTGAAGTGAAAATGTAATCATAGAAATATTTGTATAACCTCCCAGATGAGTGAAAGTTGGGAGTCAAGCATATAGTTAATGGTCAAGTGATAACCTGACTTGAGTGAAGAACCTAACCCCCGGAGGGATAGTCATGATTGTGTTAAGAATTACGGAGCCCGAAGGGCGACGTGCAAGAGGAGAGGGAGCGAAGCAACATCGACGAATGCTAGATAATAAATAAACATCGTGAAGAAATGAAATGATATGGAAAGATGGAACGTGAATGGAATTAAAAAGTCTAAAAGAGACCGAGCATAAGCGAGGTTAGGATCGAGTGAAACGAGAGCCAAGAAGTCGAACGAAGTGAGATTCTGATCTGCCCCAAGTTTTTTGAAAAGTGGTCGGATCTTAATTCGGACCACGTTAAGGAGTGACTTGTCACGACTGCCGAACGTAGTGAGGCTTAGAGGTCCCCCCCTACGACCGAAGGTCGTATATAACTTTGGTTTAGGGGGGACCTTGGGACACGGGACGGGACTGAAGAATGAAGGACGAGTGTTACGTAAGGTTTGAGTCGAGGCACGAGACCTTACCGCTCCCCGGTCGGTAGGCAGACGAGTTTACGAGGAATGCGGTGGATAGGTGATGGAGTGAGGGACGAATGAAATCACTGTAATATGGACGGAATGAAGGATGAAGTGGAGGACGGTTGTGGTTGGATGAAGCATAAATCCGGCCACAAAAACTGGAGTATGACGAGGGTGGGAGGAATACAAAGGGAGGGAATGCCCGCCCCAACGTAGTGCAAGTGAGCAGGCGAACTTGATCTTGTTTGAAACCATAGGTGAGTAAAATCGGCAGATTCGGTGGTTTATTTGATTGTTGGTGAGGGTACGAACATCCGCAACGAAGAGAGGACTGATAGCACTCGTAGAGTCAAGCGGACATGTACGCGCATTACTAACTTCAAACGGGAGCGGAACGCGACCGGTAGTGACGACCGGAGTGAGGGTCAGTTGAGTCCAGGAGGACGATGGAACATATTACGGTCAAGGGACCGGAGTCGAGGTCGAAGTATGAGACGGATTCTTCTTGTGTGTCAGTTTTATACTGGGAGATCCCATGGGTCGATCCGAACGATGTGAGGTTGGTTCTTCAAGGAATGATCGCCGCATTGAGGCGGAAGTATTATGTCGTTAGACACAAGCCCGAACAGGGCACCTTTGGTTTCACACAGACGGGAGGCGTGTGTATGGATTTTGGATGACCAGTGTTGCTAATAATATGGCAATAAAGTAGTAAGGCAACTTGCAGTTCGGATGGCAAGTGCATGACTGTTTTGGGTTTTGGTGTTGCTGCGGGTTTGAGCATCAGGCAGCAATGGGTCAATGCATTTCCGCCAACGGTCCCTATTCAGAGTATCATCTTCTATCCGGATGAAATAGCCCTTTTCCTGTCTACCAATCCAAATCCAGGTTTGGGGGGCGAAGTTGGGCACAATTGATGCCTAAAGGCGGCTGACTGTTTTCCTCCAGCCTGCTCTATCCACCCATGTCGGGACCTCACACTTCCAAGGATGTAACTGCTCAAATCGCCAGGCAAGTCAAATGGAGCCATCCAAAGACGACGATGGCACATCCGTCAGTGCCCTGGCCCTCTGCAAGGTCGGGCTGGGCCCTCGGCCGGGAACCAAGGCAGACAACTTTTGCACGCCGCATAACGAAGCCTTCTACTCAAAGTACGAATACTGTCCTCTGGACAGGAAGAGACCTAGTATACGTCTCCTCAAGGTTTTTCCCGAGGAAAAGACCCTCGCTCAGCATATGGTCGACTACCCTACCTGGAAAGCCAGCGGCCACGACCCAGCGCCTGTTGGCTTCTCATCAGGCAATGCCTTTTCATCGGGCAATGCCTTTTCATCCCAAGATGTCTCAATCGGAGAGAAACTCCTTGCCTGCGACATGCTTGACGGAGTGCCGCTCTCCATGTGCACAGGGCAGTACCTGACTCTCTCGTACGCAGCAGGCGATCCCAGAAACACGGCGAGGATCCTAGTCGGGGGATACATCTTCAATGCCTTCGCGCAGCTCATCCACGCCCTCAAGTGTGCTGTTCGCTACTGGCATAGGGAGAATGGTTGTCGAGACGGATACTTCTTGTTCTGGGTTGACCAAATCTGCATCAATCAGCCGGATGCTGCCGAGAGAGGCCATCAGGTCATGATGATGCGCGACATTTATTCCCGCTGCGCGACGACTCTTGTCTGCCTTTCGATCGCCGATGAAAAAAAAGCGGCTACGACGTACGTGGGTTTCGATCCGCAATCACGAGGGTTCGGGCAACCATGCGGCCCAACACAGGCCAAAACAAAGAACACTGGGTTAGGGTGGCTCACGGAGGTGCCACATCAAGGTTCTACAAGACTTGTCGACGTGTTCTGGAAGGATTGTTACAATGGAGGGCCTAGGACCGAGACTCTGGCATCCTTCGTAGCCTTTCTGCGATCCCCCTGGTGGACACGGTCGTGGGTATACCAGGAGTTTGTCTGTTCGCCCAAAGTCCACTTTGTGTCTGGAGACGATGGCGCGCCTTGGGAGAAGATATCGGCATGTCTGACCCCAGACCCTGGGTCTTGGTGCAATGTGTGGAAAAGTCGCCTCACAAGCAAGGATCACCAGGATATCGTGCGCGCCAAGGATGAACAATTTGATCAGCAACGCACGCAGCAGAGTGCCCAGGGAGGCGAGGAAGAGCCAGGGCGTGGTACGATCATTCTAAGTTTCGAAGAAGAGGTGGAAAAGAAAGTTGACTCTCTTATAAAGAAACTCACCGCCCCGGATGTGGAAAAATCGATACGCACCGTGGCGGCCATGATGAATGGCCGGTCCAAGCATGACAGTCAAGTAGGAGACTTGCGCGTTCTCCTCCGCCACGCGCGGAACTTTCAGGCCTCGGATACAAGAGACAAGATCTACGCATTCGTTGGGCTTGCGCGGGACGACTACGGCTTCAAGCCCAGCTATTCGCACGAGAACACGGCTGTAGACGTCCACTCGGACGCGGCACGAAGGATCGTCGAGATTGACCGAGATCTAAACTACGTTCTGGAGCAAGCATTTGTCGGCAGACGTGACCTGGGCTACTTTCTTCCGTCGTGGGTCCCAGACTGGAACTGCAGCGAGGACAGGGACATATTGTTGGAGCTCCAAAACCACACCGACGGCGCCAGCGAATCGCCCAGGGCCTCTGACACTGCTAGCAGCTTAGCCATTGAGAAACAGGTTCTCCATCTCCAAGAGATCGAGAACAAAGGTCTTCGTTTACGAGTAACGGGCAGACGTGTTGTGACACTCGCCCGAGGATCCCGCGAGATTTCTCCAAACTTGCAACAGTTCGAAACTGACTCGGGGCTGGTGGTTTACGCTCCCAGCACAGTGCGGCCGAAAGATGAGATATGGTCGCTTTCTGGATGCGAGTGGCTGGTGTTCTTGCGGGACGAGGGGAAGAATAAGTACTGCTTTGGTGGGTTTGTTGTTGTCCATGGGCTCGAGGAGAAGTCAACTTCTAAAGAGGCGGCGAGGGAAGTTTTTCTAATTTAAATCGAATAATTTATTTGAAGGGATATATTTTAGGTATTTATCATGAAGTTGCCTTAATATAAACTAGATATTAATATTATATGGTGATATCAAGAAAGAGCAACTATGCTCGGCAACAGCCTCGTATGGAGCCTGGCTTGGGTCCTATCTTCTCCGTCCTCAGCTGCGTAAGAAGGGCGCTGTGTTTCTTTTTGAGTCCGTCATGCAGTTGCAGGACCTTGCGGGAGGGCCTCGGCGTATGTCTGAAGGATGCTCTGCCACGTGTTTCGGTTGTCCAGTTGATCTCCCAGGATCTGATGGTCTCTTTTATGAGCCCATGTTTTCAAAGTCGACCGAAGTGGATATAGCTTTTTTTTTTTTGGCTCTGTTCCCTTGGGTCCCGTGGGTCCCTCTTCTCTCCAGCCTGTAGCCTCCTTGGCTGCTCGGTCTGCGTCTTCGTTGCCTTGGATTCCGTATGTGCCGGGACCCACCTGATTTCAACGACAAGTCCCTGTGACTGAAGCTGCCCGATCTGTTGCGTAATGCTTTTGAGCAGATACGCCCCAGACTTGCCCTCCGGTTTGGCGGTGGATCGAATTGCGGCTTGGTTGTCCGTGTGGATCAGCAACTTGCTTCTGTCGTTTCCGTTGTCCCTGTCTTCCTGCGCGATCTGGAGGGCTAAGTTGATGCCTTGAAGTTCGCCAGCGTAGACGGTAGATGTCCTCTCATCTCCCATGTATGCGCTCCGAGTTTCTTATGAGGTGGTACAGACTGCTGCAGCTCCGATGTGGCCATTGATGCCACTCCCGTCCGTATACCAAGGTAAAGGCATTCTTCAGGCTAGGACCACTCTCACCAAATTCGCAATTTAGTGCCGATGGAGCAGGTGCCTCGCGGCGTGGGATGTCCCTGATGAGGCATATAGAGCTAAATAACTCTTCTTTTCATAGCAGAGTCTACTAACCCAGTACCGTTACTCTAGACTAACTTCTTTGGCTAAAAAGAGAACGATTACAGTAAGCAGTATCAGAGGCCAAAGTTTAATATAAGAATTAAGGGTAAGGACAAAGAAGATAATTCCAAATATAAAGGCGACAGTAGACTCGACAATGCCAAGTCCGCAAAAAATTCTCTTATTTATCGCCGGCTTTTTGCCAGCTCCCACTCCGCGTATCTTCCTAAAGTTGGTATAGGTTTTAGGGAGTCCGCTCAGAATATGAGCGATCATCTAGGCATCGTTATATTATATGAGATAAATTTCACACGGGCCAGGTCGCATTTAAGTTCGCGATACTTATTAAGGTAATACTCCGTTGCGGTCTAAATTCGCGCTATATCGATATATCAATAACTCTTTGATCTTTATGTCGACGACCCTTTTGTGACGATGCCTCTTATTGGCACCCACAGCTCATTTTCAGCAGTGCTAGATAGTCTCCCAGTCGATATTAAATTCTTATTGTGGAAAATCTATCTCGTCTGGCGTGGCATCGGGCGTAGCGGGCGCGGCCTCAGGACCGTCATCAACTAGGGTTGGAGGTGGATGGGATGTTAGAGACTGCGATATAGATAGCACGGGCTTAAAGTCCTACTAGAAGACATAATATCGCGGGTATAAATGCGCATATACGGAGCACGACGCGAAAGTTGCAAGGACAATGGTTTCAGGCTAGGATAGGATTTTATTTCGCTCGCGGGGAAAAATAGGGCCTCTGCGCTAAGCTGCTTACGTTTCTAATAGCCGCTTCCATCCTTAGCTGAAGCCCTATAATTTTAATATCGCTACCTATTAAGGGATTAGTAGTTAAGCTTACTAGAAGAATATTTATTTGCCTAATAGTATGGATATGCTTTAATTAGAGTTAATTCTGAATGTCTTTAGAATATTATAAACTTCCTGTTTATATTTCCTTTTATAACCCCCGTAGTAGCTTCTCTATCTGCGCCTATTAGTCGGGGTTAAAAAGATTCGGGTTATGATCCTTTTTTCCTATCTTAACTGCATAATCTAACGGTGTCTTCCTATGTGAATCACGAAGCCCTGTAGATAACCGTATTTCGTCGCAAAGGAAATGTAGAATATTTGCCGTTAGATTGCCCTTGATAGTACTATAATGAAGGGTAGTTCGCCCTTATTTATCCTTAGCCCTTAAATCCACACCCTAGCTTGCTAGGGTTTGGAGTATACTTATAGAAACTCTGCGGGATCTAGCGGCTAGGTGCGCTAAATCTAAACCTTCTTCCGTCTCGAAAGCTGGGTTTGCACTATACTTAAACATAAGGCGCACTACTTCTGGGTTATTATCGCCTGCATAGAGGATAAACGCGCTAAGGTATTTAGCTATCGGCGATATTCCTGTATTATTAAGGTTATTAATGCTAGCTAATTATTTTAGGAGATAGTCGACTATAGTAATGTTAATCTTAATGTTGCTTAGTAAATAATGTAATATATTCTCTCTATGGTTGTCTTTCGATTTTAGGAATGCTTCTAGAGACGTATCTGGCATATGGTTTACTACGCTTAGTATTATTCCTAGATGCCTATTTTATGCCGCGTAATGTAGAGCATTAAGTCCGTTAATATCGCCGTCTATGGGATCTGCTCTAAGTATTAGGAAGGTAGTAATAGCGTCTAGGTTTCTATTCCGGCTAGTAAGATATAATAGTATTTTGTTATTCTTTATGCGCACTGAGATCTTGGTACCTTTCTCGATAAGCTTTAGGACTAAGGAGTTGGAGAAGTCTTTACTATGAGCTGTAATATGTAATGAAGAAATGCCGAAGATATCTTAGGCATTAATATCGACCTTAGGATATTCTAAAAGAAGACTTATAATGGTTGACCTGGCCTCGTAGATCTAAGCCTAGGTTAAATAGTATTCGTCCTCAATATCATCTAATTCCATATAATCGAGTATAACCTCGATTCGGGATATTAGATCATTCCAGAAGTCCATAATCCCAGGCCATTTCGGACTATATAAATCTCGCCTTAGCGCTAGATGCAGTAGTATCTCGCCATGGTCCGAAGGAAAGTTTAGATTGGCACTATGGTCCAGCAAGAACTTGGTCATCCGTTGACTACTCGTCAGCGTAGCGAGGTGTAGACTAGTTAAGCCCTTCTCTATATAGGCCACTTATACGGGATTTTGTGTACCATCTCTCGTAACATAGACTACTCTGCCTTGTTAATAAACTAGCATATAGATTTCTCTCGTTATTAGCGTATCTATCGGTGTTCTGGCGTCGAGGAAAGCCTGGGCTACCTCCTCGGCATTGTTTTTGACTATGTAGTGGAAAGGAGTTATATTATTGACGTCCGGGTCTAGACTCGCTCTTCTCTATAGTAGCAGCTAAACGCATCGTTTCTAGCCGTTGAGTATAGCATAGTGTAATAGGGTTCTCCGGTCTGTATCCCATACGTCGATGTATACGCCTCGTTCTATGAGCTATTCCGCGGTAGCTTTAGCTTATGCACCCCTATGCTTTGCTACTAGTAGCAACTAATTTCTAGGCATTTTTGATTCTAAAGAAAAGAATCAAGCGACGGAGGGTAGCTCGGATATAGCGAGGCGGGCATGGAGCGCACTATATTCCTTAGAATAACCCAATAGCGGGTAGAGCTGCCTATTAGCCCTTTTACCTAGTGAATCTTCGTCTACTTCTAAGAACTTAATGTCAAAGATAGGGAATAAGAGATAAGTGAGGCATGATGTTGTAATTATAGCGTTAGTATCTAGACGCTAGTTTGCTCGCGTCCGCTCCAAGTACTCTTGTGTCGTATAGTGGATTAAACTAACCGTCTAGCTCCGTTTATTAACCGTTACTAAGCTAGCGCAGATAAAGACCATGTAATCGATGTCGATAAAACTCTCCTCGTTAAGATGCGAGTCTATTTCCTAGATGACCATTGCTACTCGGAGCTCTTTAACCCGGAGCGGTCTCTGTGCAAAGGTAAGCCATATAAGGACGTCCTTAGCGAGCACTCTCTTATCTAGGTACTGAATCTCTATCCGCTCTATTGTAGCTAGGTAGGCCTTATCGTATGCTGATAACCCGGTTAGCAAGGCTGCGAGTGCGTTTTTGAGCCTCATGACAGACCCTTTACCCACTAAAGAGTCGAGATGCAGGCGGGCAAGAAGGAACCTAGGGTCATATTAACATTTTATGGCGTCGCTATATAAGGAGAGGCGACGTACATTCCTCTAATCGATCCCATAATTGCTTTATAAATATCTTCTTAAAGTTGCCGGTCACGCATGACGAACCCACTAAGCTTCGGCATCTTACGATTAAGGTATTCGCGAACATCAGTATCGCTCGCACGTATCTCAAGGACACTGCTTCCTTCCAACTCCTTGTCATTAATAATCTCGGGGATAGCCCTAGAAGTTACCAAGGCATTTACTCCCTTCAAGCCTCAGAGCTGGGCGAGAATTCGTCTCCATGCAAGACACTCGTCAAGACCGTCAATAACTATGAAGACTCGGGAATACAGGGACGCCACGGACTCTAGCGCACCGGCTATTTCTTTGAATGATGGCCGAGTATCCTTTGCTTTGTGTTTGTCGTACAGAGTGCTCAATGCGTCTAGCAAAGAGCCTAGATATTGGGCAAGCTACTTAAGGATGCTCGCGAGTATTACACTAGCGTTCTCGTGGTCTTGGCGTCTAAAATCGCAGTAATAATATGCCATGCCAACATCGCTCTTATTCCCGAAGCGGCCCCAAAGATAGTCGATCACGATAGAGGCTAGGAATATCTTCCCCACTCCGGGAAGACCTAGATAGAATAACACCTCTTCCTTAGTTTCGATCTATTTCTGGAATTCGTTAGAGGATAGAAGCTATTCACCGGTTCCCTCTTCATACTCATCAAATACCTTACTTTAATGTGCGCCATAATTAACGGTTCTAATCCACTTAAGGATTTTATGTCGCTCCTATTGGCTCGATCGCTCGGTGAGATAATGAACATCCTATTAAATTCTAGAGGATCTTTGACTATGCTCGTTTTAGTTTACTAGAAATTAAAGAGAAAGCTTTCTAAATACCTGGATAGATATCCCACAATTGTACTGAGCAGCGCGAGATTAAGCGATATCCGACGTCGAAAATCTTAAACGTTATCCAGGTCCTAGTTAAACCTTTTCCAAGCTTTCTTCACGTATTAGGTCGCACTCATACTGCGAGCCCCGATTTCTCTATTCTTTTCAAGTCGCTTAAGTAAATCGTTTAAAAGACTAGTAGAGTTATCCCTAATACTTTGTAGATTTACTCGTTACTCAGGCCCAGGTTCGCATCCCGATAAAAGGATATTAATATCTTAGACGATACTCGAGAAGTTTCTGAGACTACTAGTCAAGTATAAGTGAGTAGGTGTATATAGGGTTAGCATGATATTGACCTACTCGTTTTCTATGCTATTATACTAGCTAGGAGCATTCATAAACCATTTCCGAGCCTGAGTAACAAGCTCTAGGATTTTAATGAAGTCACCCACGCCGACCCCGACACTCATTTTATCGGCAAGACGACTCGTAGTGAAAAAAAAGGACTAGGCTTAAACGGGCCCCTATTATTGACTATGTCTTTCTTTGACCTCTTGATAATAAATTCGGAGAGATCGGGCGCCCTGATTGATTCCCTCATAAAGTGCTAGGCTAGGATCAACTTGTCGAAGGGCGGGGGGCGGGGCGGGGAGACAGTATTTAATGCCTAAAGTGCAGATATATGTAACTTAGGCAGCAATGAGATGCCCTCATGGTTGGGGAGTATCCTGCGTCCGAGATCACAATCAGGCTATAAGCTCGTCTAAAGCGCGGTTTACCTCCTCCATAGGGATCCAAGCGCGACTCCGCCCCATCATAGCCTCGTTAAGCATTTACTATGGTACCTATCGATAGATTACCCTCTATCTTAATACTTTCGTCTCGGGTTATTAATTTGAAAGCTTGACTCCTTTAAAAGTAATTCTTAAACTATCGAAATATTATGGCTTGGTCTGACTCGGCTACCCCAGTATTAGGGAGCCAATCGAAATGGAGCTGCTGCTTAACGCTGCCTTACTCTAGCGCCCTCCTCCCTGCCGCTCACTAGGGTTTGTGGCTTATATTTGGCGTCGCGAAAATCCGTGAGAATAGGTATAGAAAGCGCTGCCTCATCTAGCTGCAGGTATCGGGAGGTAAACAACTATATCAGAGTCCTAATTGTGGTACTCTGGGCCCCCGATGCTCGGTGCTGCCGACATCTGCGGCGACAGATATTCTCGTCCAGTAGGCGTGATTGGTAGGTTGTCTTCAGTGGCATCCGGACGGATTATGGCGGCGCAGGATCCGGGTGAGGGACCAACCAATGTGTGCCCAACGGGGCCCTGCCTCGGATCGTCCCCCTTATCCCTTTCTCTTCCTCTCTATTCTCGATTCATAAAGCCATCAATATCGTCAGCACCTTTATCTGCCTGTAGAAGCCGTATTACCCTGCTGCTTAACCTATTGAACGACTCTAATCGAGCCTACTAGAGTACTTCCCTCACAGGAGCACCGATCGGCATTCGCAACCACGACTACTTTACATCATATTAACCACGACAGAAGGAGACTTAAAATAAGTTAGTATTTATATCCTCCCGATCTATAGTCTGAGTCTTCCCCATAGCTAAATCTGAGATCCCCACTAAACACAACCGGTAGAGAAAGTACTATCCATGCTCTTAAGGCTAATGCCACTCAGCCCTTCCTCGAAATCTTAGAACTGCGCGCTTATTAACGAGATTCAGAAATATGTCTTATCAATATAGAAACATTGAGATTGGAAGCCATATTGTCGCATACCTGAGGAGCCGACAAAGAGGAGATATCCTTCGAGGATATTCTGAAGGGGACCATTAAGAAACCGGGGAACGGGATAAAGAAATCGAAAGGATGCTATAGTCAAGCTAAGGAGGATCATCTTGAGTATGCTTGGATTAATACCTGCTATTTCTGCTTTCTTCTAAAGCGCGATCTATGCCTCCTACTCCTCTATATATTTTACTAAATATTTAGCTACCTCGCCTATAGAACTCTATGTTTTTCTAAGTGCGCTATTATGCGGGCACTCTAAAGGTAATTCTATTACTATAATAGCAA